GGGGAGGGGGGTGACACGGGGATGAGGAGAGAGAGAGTGTGAGGGATGTTACATTACTGTAAGATTGGGTCAACCCAACAATTAATGCTTTGAACACATGAAGTCAAGACTTAAAGTGTTGTTTTGTTTTTTATATGCTTCGAGCGTACATGCACTTCACAATTTTTCGTGAAATGGTTAAAATGCTTTTTGCAAAGTGTCTTTTTTTGGTTTGTTTGTTTAGGCAAATTTGGTGCAGATCAACTCCTTACCAGGACAAACTGCTAAAGAGGCCGACAAAATACAGCGACAAAAGAAGTGAGTATGATAAAAAATATTATTTGATACAGCATAGATATTGCAAGCAGAGTAGAAACATAAAGATGAAAGAGGTTTGGGGTTGTTTTTTTTGGGGGGGGGGAGGTTGTTCTTTTTTGCTCTGTTCACTTTATATTTTGTATCACTGAAGAAATAGTACAGTGGAGTCCACTTATAACGAGTCCTGAAATGACGAGAAGTCTGTTATGAAGACACTATTCTAAAACCCCAATTTTTCCCTTCTTTATCTTTGTAAATAAAATACTGCTATTGCACAATCAGACAGTCAGGGGAGTCGGTTATAACGGAAAATTGCTGCTGCTGTGCACAACGCACTGACCAATTACACATATTATTATAAAACCTCGCCAGTTGAGTAAGTTGTTAGTGATCCAGCGAAACAAAGAATGGGAGAGCCCACGCGAACCAACAATGAAGGCCGGAGCGAACGAGTGGGGAGGGTGTGGCATGCCCAGACAAGCAGAACACATCGTGTGATAGGCCAGCCCAGTCTAGATTATCCAGGCCTACTATGCCTCTCACGTCTCTGGTGCAGGATGGAGTGGTCACAATGCTGTGATAGATGGAGTCAATGTGTGACGTGCGCAAGCAGACGCAACGTACCATAGGGTGTCGTGGGGTGGGGGACAACACAGCGGGCGAGTTAGCTTAGAGCCAGGGCCCTTTCTTTTGGATCGCCAACGCCGAACTGTCAACATTGCTAGTGTTAGAGAATGAAACCTGATTCGATTTTTGATCAAGTAAGACCTAGAGATCATGTTGAACAAAATCGTCATCGGGGGAAATACAAAAAGGAATAAACAGAACTCCAAACTCATAGATAACAGACATTTCGCAGCGGTCCCCTCTCTCTCGTTATAACAGGATTCCACTGTATACAAAACTGGAAAAATGATGCTTTTGCTTTGTTGATAATTTCTGTGGGCATGCGCATTTTTTTTTTCCAACTTCTAGAAAGTATTTTTTTAAATACAGAATAAATAGACTAACCATTGACTATTCAAAGCAAGTGGACTTATTACTTCTTGTGAGTTTTTTTTTAATAGCCAGAGATTCATTTTTTTAACATTTAAACAAGAAGCCTAACTAGCTTGTATTTATGTGTATGTGTGTGTGTTTAAAATGTGAACTCAGATCAATATATTAATCATTTTGTTCACATATTGCATTTTACGATGTTCTTATTTTTGCCTTTCCAAATTGTGTGTAGTTTATTTTGATTGCTCAGTTATTGATGTTCAAATTTTACATCCATATAGATTGGTAGATATGTTTGACGTTATAATGCCTCTTTAAAGACTTGACAACTTTCTTCGCTCAAAAAAAAATCATGGATTAGAATATGAAGAGTGATAATCCTCAAATAACGCAGTCTAGTCCACTGTGATGGTACTAATGCAAATTACATTGTCACAGTTGGGCTTCCGTCATAGTTCAGATTGCTAATGGAGTGATGGTAGAGACCAAAATGTTTTTTCCTGTCTTTGGTCACTTTGAACTGATTCTCATGGATCATCCTCCTGTCTGTGCAGTGTTGTGATGACCAATCTGGAGGCTCTGAACACAGAGTACAGAGAGCATGTTGAAGTCGCCAAAAAACTGGAGCAAAAGAAGAAGTTGTTGGAGGAAGAGAAACTGGAGGCAGACACTGAGCTGGATAACCAGAGAGATATGCTGAATGAGAGAGAGAGGGAGTATGAGAGTAAGATGAAAGAATTTGAGCTGCAGAAGGAGAGAGAAGTCACTTTGATGGGAGACAGGTAGGTTGTTACATTCGTTGTTTATTTTTTTAAGTTTGACAAGCTCAGCTTTTACTTTTATACCTTAAATTTAACCTGAGGACCAACAATAATTTAGTATTAAGTAAAACAAAATATAATTTATTAACAAATTTAGCTTTTAATTATGTATTGAACCTAACGAGAAGATTGACATTACCTGTATTACCTATCCTGGGCAACAACGTCATTGCACACCGGACAGGTCCATAAGTTCCTCTCAGCATCAAAGCCCGCAAGGAATCTATACTGATTGTTCCAGTGGCTGTCTGATTATGGCGACGTCTTTCCTTTCCAGATAGTTGTTCCTTTCTCCCCACTCTATCCCCTTTTCAGCATCCTGATAATTGCATGGTGTTCTGCTATCTCCCTGTCTTCCTCGTCCCACTTCTTTTCCCCCAGGGTCTTCAACACTTCTCCTTTGTCAAATTTCACCTCACCGTCAACCACGGCACTACCCGCCAGCTTATCAGCCTCCTCATTACCCTTCACTCCAGAGTGCCCAGGACAGAATATCCACGTGATGGCTTTAAGTGATGAGTGTTGTATTGAGTTCTTCCATTCACTCCGAAGCAGCCCCTTCTCAACCCTTCGCAGGATGCTCTGGGAGTCTGGGACAATAATGAGATGGGTAGTTCTTGGTCTTGTATTTTGAAGTCAGCCAAGCGCTCTTGTTACTGCCTCAATCTCCATTTTCATGCTTGAAGTTGTTCTTTCTATGGCCCCTGACATGCTATAAACCTGTTTGTTCCCACTGTACACCACAAAACCCCACCCACTTCTTTCACCCCTCCTGACCGAGCCATCCGTGTAGATCACTGGGTCCTCTGGCTTAGAGTACTGCTCAATTAACCGTTGTATGTCATTGTCATTTTAATGACAGCGGCACATTCCCGTCTTTCAGGACCCATAGTGATATGAACGTTGGCCAGGCTTCTGCAATCAGGGCTCAGTTCAAACCATTCCTTTCCACTGCATATTTCATCGATGCCACAAACTTTCCTCAAGGAGTCTTCAGCTTCTGCCATCCATGAGCTGCCCTGTTTGATCCTATTTCCTTTGATGCTGCTTAGGTTGTCATGCAAAGGGTGCCTCGGGTCTCCCAAAACATTCAAGTACAGGTTTGCCTGTGCCACCTTATGCCTCACTCTGATGCTGGCCAGGTCAAGGATGTATCTCATACAGACAACATGGGTATCCTTTGTGCAACCCGAGACTGCTCTCATAGCTGCATTCTGTACTCTCTCCAACCTGTCTATCTGAATCTTGGACAGGGAGAGGATGCCCAGACCATAGTCTATGACTGACAGAACAACCAGCTGCCTTAAGAGAAAAAGAACTCTCTGGTGAATTCCTGCTGAAGCCAAGGTCTTCACTACATTAATGCTCTTCTGAACCTTGACATTGCTTATTATAAGTACATGGACTAAATGACATTGTGCTTGTCTAACAAGTATTGCTGCACACATCATACTCTTTCATTGCAAATCTTTTTAACCTCCATTATTAGTTATCATGAGGAAGTACACTTTTTGTTTGTGGGTTATCTCACCTTACACACAGATCCTCACCCAAATAATACTAATATATTTATTTCCCAACATTTGTCAACTTTCTCTGTGGATAGTTTTACCAAAGATAGTACATAACAAGATGGTCCACTCAGTCAAAAATGTGTCCGCAGGAAGTTCGCTCTTTGCTTCAGATGGCGCTGCAGTCTGTTTTGAAGCTCCCTTTCGTTTCTCCAGAAGAAGAATAGGAATAGCACCTCCTTGTGTGCGCAGATCGACTGCTGTTCATCAGCTGTTCGGGTTCGTTCAGTGCGGAGTTTTAGTTTGTTTTTATTTTAATGACCTCTCGCCTTTCATTCTAAAGTCAAATTAAACGAAGAAAACAGTCACCCCTTCCTCCGAAAGAGTTTTTTTTGTCAGCGAAACCATTCTAAAAAGCGTTCTTTCGAAATTTGAATTCTTATTTATTAAAACACTTGTTAGTTTCACTTTGATTTTTTTAACACAAGTAGGGTAACTCTGTTCGCAAAGGGTGCGCATTTGTGAAGAGGGCGCCACCGAATTTTGAGGACACTTTTTTAATTGGCTCAAAGAGGGGAGTGGACCCTCTTGTTATGTAGACTCTTTGGTTTTACTAATGAGTCTGACTATTTCTCAGTAATGACTAAATTAACAAATCCGTTTCCAGGGCAACGTATGATATGAACCTACGTCACATTCTGCTGGAGAAGAAAAACCAGCACGATGTCCATTCTCGCAAAACTCGTGAGAAGGATCGAGACAACAGGAACTTGAAAAAAGCCGAGCTGCATGTCAAAGTGGCTGACGAAGGGTTGAATCATACAAAGTCCATTTATGAAAAGTTGAAGTCACAGGTCAGTGTTATTGCTGTCCCATGTGTTATCTAGCTGCAGACCCATCATTAAAAGAAATACAAGTCTTCCTTTGATTCCTTTTTTATATATTTCCAGCCGTTTTTTTGTTGTTGTCATGTATCATTTTGTAGAATTATCATGACCATCTTTTCGTATTTTTGTCCTTTCATAATTTTGTCTTTACTTCCACTTTCTTTTGTTGTCTTTTCTTTTTTTGTTCATTACTGTTGTCTCACGTCTGTACAAGAAGTGAATGTCTAACTTTCTTCAGAAGGCTTTCTGTTGCTTTCATCCTGGGTGTTAGCAGTGCTTTTCTTTTCTATCTCTCCTTTTTCTTTCCTTCCTTTCTCCCTTCTATGTTATTGTACTTTTGGTATAGAATCTGACAGAAGTTCTATGATGTGAAATATTTATTTATCAATTAGAAAATTGTATAGTCAAAGGACAGGAACAAGAAGTAGATTTTCATAGTCATACAAAACATTATGAAACTTTGTATGCCATTCAATGGATGGCATAGATGATGTATTTTAATGTTTTCCAAACAGGAGAATTATATGAAGCCATGCCAGGTTTCCCTCAAAGGATGTCCATATATTTCCTGTTACAGAAAAATATTCATCGCTGTATTTGAAGGGCTAAGTCAAACATTTTGTCTTCTTAAAGTTTTAGCAAGATTTTCGTGTTTCTGCTTTCTGGCAATGTAAAAGTAGGAACAGTCTTCAATTAGATTGATGTGCTGTTTTGAATAGTGTGGGGTTTTAGAAAGATTTAAGTTCCGATAAAAAGCAGCGGCAGCATCGATTTAATTTCAAAAGTTGAAGGCACTGTTCTCTCACCCAGGTTGGAGGACTTCCCAAAGATGATGGATCAATGCTCAAGAAACGCGAGGACCTACAGAAGGAAGTGGACCAGACTAAGCGTGCTCTCGCTCAACAGGTAGGGACAGCTGGTTTGTGACTTTGTTTTGAATAGAGGTATATTAATAATAATAATAAATAGCATTTGTATAGCGCATATCTCCGAATTATTATAATATTAATATTAATATTATTATAATATTTATTATTATAAAGCGCATAGAGCCTGCTGTTGAGCGGGGATATGCGCTATACAAATGCTATTTATTATCTATTTATTGTTATGATTATATTACACTTGTAAAAAAAATTACATTTACTATACAATAGACTTTCTGTTGATCACTTTGTCAATATGGTAGCTCTTTTTGCAGTTTCATCCTTTTTTTAAAAATTGTTATTTGGAGGTTGCTGCTCTCCATGAATTCAGTGAGAAATTTTAAGCTTCAGTTCTCAGTAGATTATGAATTGGGAATGACAACATGCAATTGACTCTGATTTGGATCCCGTGCAGGATGTTTTTGGGCTTAGGTTGTTTTATGTGTTTTCTTCACTCTGCAAACTTTGCTTGTTCCTGTTAAAGATTTACAATAAGTCAAAATTCCTTGGAAAAGATAACACAGTTTTAGAAATGTACCGTAAGTCACAGTATTGGAAAATAAATTAATTTTATGCTACGCCGTGCCTCACCAGGTTAGAAATTGCATTGTTTTAGTTTTTTGGTGGGATTTGGAAACACAACATTTCTGGCTACTTGAATTTCAGAAAATGTAAATTGTCAGAAGTGCAATCTGTATTTGTCTCACAATGAAAGCTTATGAATCTGAAACATGATTTGTTGTGGAAACATTTCAGAACTCTTTGACTGCTGTGGAGCATGTGAAGTTGGAGGCCAGCGCTGCTGAAGAACAAAACTTGTTGTATGAGCAGAGTGATTTGAGGATCGAGGTTGTTGAGCTAACCAGATTGGCCGCCATCAAGGTAAGATTTTTTTTTAAATTGTGGAACTGAACACCCAGAATAATTTAATGTCGTATCCAAAGAATGATCATATAACTCATGGACTGACAAAGGGAGTTCAGAAAAGTTACAGACTGTGGCTGCCATCAAGGTAGGGTTTTTTGTTTGTGACTGAATCACCCAGAATAATGCCCAATCCAAAGAATGATCGTGTAGCTCACAGACTGACATCACGTTCAAAGGGTGGTTCAGAAAGTTACATTTTGAAGTCCTGCCTCGAATGTGACCCAATGACACATTGACTAACACTCTATTAAAGATATGATGCATTGACTGACAGAACACCAAGTTACAAGATGAACCAGTGACCTTCAGAATAAGCTATCCATTGGATGATTCGTCAGCTCACACACACTATTGTCCTGACCTTGGGGAAATCCTGTTTCTTTCTATTCCAGTCAGTCGCATAGCATTTATTTCACCTTTTTTTAAAAACAATTTGAAATCCTCTCTAGGGTCTGTTTTTTCTCCCAAAAATTTCATTTAGGAACAAAAGAACATGCTTTTTGGGGTTTTTTTAAATTTCCAAAACATTTCCCCATACTGAAAACAAATGTTAAGTAAAGCAAAGAAACACTTATACCATCTTTCTCCTGTCTGAGTAAAAAATCCAGTACTGACTAGTGTTCCGTTACCTAATCCATTTTTCTAGGCAGATGAAAGAGAGCAGAAAGCGAGGGACTTCATGCGGGCAGAGATGAAGTACCACAGGGCTGTGGAGGATCTCAAGACCAAACAGCTGCAGATACAAGACCACCAGAAAAAGTTCCAGGAAATGCAGATAAAGTACGGAGATTTCTTTGACTGTTGGTACAGTACAGGCATAAAGGTTCAAGGATATTGGAGAGAATAAGTGGGGATTTTGTTTTGTTGTAGAGGAAACAAAAACTCAGATTTGTTCTTAAGAAGACAGATGGGAGTGGGAAGGTTGAAGAAATGGAAACAGGATTTTTTTCTGGCTAGACTTGTATGTAAAACAGGAGTAAATATACAAAGTAGCTTAGGTTAAATGCCTCTTTCGACTCTGTAAGATTATATAAGAGACAGATCCCGTCTCTTATATAATCTTACAGGGTTGAAAAAGGTGTTTAATCTGTGCTTTCTGCTTAACCAATGCCTTCCTCCCTTATGTTTGTTCTTTGACTTTGTGAAAGCTTCTTTTTGTGTTTTTACATTGACTTATTTGTTCATAAAGCTTTTCTGCTGCTGTTACCTCCCGTTTTCTCTGGTATGATAGGTGAACAATATTTCTGAGCTCTTAGCAGGCCGCCATGCTGTGTGTCTCCCAGTGGACTGAGCTGGTACAACTAGAATGATGCTGTAGTGTGCACCTTTAATAGAAAAGATGCCAGACCATACACAGATATTTAATTAAATTGTGTCACGACGCGGTGGAATCAGGCGCTCATCAATTTTTGGGCTTGTAGAGTTATTAGTATCATCTAAAAGCTGATTTATTTGCCTTTGTTTCTGATGAAATAAATATCCATTCATCTTGAATAGAACTCAAGATATTTGTCGATTGAAGGAAGTGAGGTTGCCTGGTTTCAGTGGTGAAATGAGTGACAAACTGGCCGCCAAAGTTTGGTAACTCCAATAGCTAAAGAGTCTTTGAAAACTGAAAAATGACATACTTTGTGCCTCTAACAATGTTTTTCTGTAAAATTCACATGGAAATATGTTTTTATATGGATATAAAAGAGGTTAAGCCAAAAAATAAAAATTTGATACAAATTTCCAAACTGGCGGAAATTGCCTGTATCTCCGATTTCGTTATTTTGACGAGCGCCTGATTTCACCACGCTGCTTCACAATTATTTTGTATTGTTATAAATTTAAAGTATTTTTTGCTACCTGTTTGTACGAAGAACATGAGCTGTAAGTCTCTCAATGCTTACAGTATTTTTGGAACCCATGATCAGCTATTTCATCATTCTGAAGTAACTCTTTTCTCGATGCTTTTTCAGATTGAAGGATTTTGCAAAAATGTATGATGTGATCAAAAACGAAAGAAACAAATGTGTGAACCTCATCCAGACATCAACACAGAAGGCAGCAGAAATGAAGGAAAAGATCAAAATCTTGCACAATGAGATTGAGATCCTACGCACAGCTGTCATGCAGAAAGACAAGTAAGAATAACTTCTAAGAATCCAATTTTTGTCGTTTTGTTTCCTGTTGCTTATTATTGCCTCACGTTAATTTGTTTTTGAGATCATGGAAGAAAAAAAAAGAAACATGAATATATATATATATAGTCAAATAACCTTCAATGATACATAAGACCCTAAAACTTTTGTAAGATTGGAATGAATGTTTCTTTATTTCCTTATCAGTTGTTTACCTTAACATGAGTATTAATGTACTCTTGGTGTTAAGAAGTTGAACCAACTATGGTAATGTTTGAGGATACAATATTCCTTCTTTTTTTCCAGCTCCATTAAGTTGGATGTTGTGTCCTCAGTACTTCAATTTGTAAACTTTGTCCAGAATTTTTGGTAATCGGAACAGGCAGTGGAAACTATTGATCTGTGCGCCTCCAAAGCTACGTATAGATATATACAGTCAAACCTGCTCTAATGATCACCTGCCCAAGACAACCACCGTAATAAATTACCCTTCCCACCTTTCATTTTTTCTACATTATAAGATAATGACATTTTCCCAGAGGGTCATTTGTTTGAATGTCCTCTCTTCTCATTGACAATGGGTGATCATCTCCGATAGGTTCGACTGAATGCTTTTTGGGAGTCTTAGTTAATTACAACATACCACCGAGAACAGAGAGAGTGAGTCTTTCATTGAATGAATGTTTGACTTAACATCATCACCATCATCATCTTCAAAGCCTTTCCACCCTGCATCAGGGTAGAGGCCCAGAACAAACAGTTTCCACCTTTCCCTATCCCAGGCTCACCTCTTGATGTTATTCCATGTCTTCTCACTTTAATCACTTCTGTAACCAGACATTATTCCCTTGCTACCATCTCCAGAGACTTGCAGAAACATCGGCTAAAGAAAATGAACGCCATTGTAATGCGGGACTCTTTGCGCAATGAGATGGCTAAACAGCAGCGTCTAGAGGAGGAGATGAGAGAGAAGCGAGAGCAGCAGAAGATGGACATGCAAAAATTGAACCTCATGATCAATCAGGGCGAGGAACAAATGGTCAAACTGCGCAAAAGATATGAGAAGAATGTCCAGCACAGAAATGACAGGTGAGTGCAACATCTGTTTGGGCAAGTCAGGTTGTCAGTATTTATTTTAGCTGAATGCAGTGCTGTTTGGATAACAGGACCAGTCACGCTATGGAAGCCACAGACTCAGGTGTTGGTACATTTACAAAGGTTCAGTTTTGTTTTGGGAAAGTAGAATCTGTATGAAAATGTCTCAGTTGTTAGCACACATTTCTTATTCTTTTAAAGTTACAAGTTTGCAGTGTGTATACTGTATAGCAACTCGGTGTTCATTCGTATACTTTTATTTTTTATATCTGGCCTGAAGTACTAATTGATGCTAAAAAGATCTATATTTCCTTCTTTTTCCCCTCCTATTTTTTTAGGAGTCTGGACTGAAATTTACCCTTCTGTTTGATATGAACAGGAAACTATTCATAGCAATTGTATTTCCTGAAACAAGGATTGTTCATAATCTGTTAAAAAAAAATTTTTTTTCTTTGTTCAGGGGCATCAAGCTTATTGAAAGGAATGAGGAAGTTTGTGTGTTCTACGAGAAAGTCAACATCCAAGGTGAGGGTTTATAAAGATTGAGCATAAATTGTGTATAGAATTTGAAAGTCATTTTAGTACTCATGTACAGATATATCTATTTCACTCTGAAGAATTGAATGCTGTAAGTTAAATGTTAGGTCCATGGATATGGAAGAGAGAGAGAGAGAGAGAGAGAGAGAGAGAGAGAGAGAGAGAGAGAGAGAGAGAGAGAGAGAGAGAGAGAGAGAGAGAGAGAGGAGAGAAGAGGAGAGAGAGAGAGAGAGAAGGAGGGAGGGAGAGAGAAGGAGAGAGAGCGAGCGAGCGAGAGAGAGAGAGAGAGAGAGAGAGAGGCAGGCAGGTAGGCGGGCAGACAGACAGACAGACAGACAGGGGGCACACAAAGAGAGACAAGGAAATGAAGCACAGAGAATAGTTTAATTGTTTACTTTGTCCCCTTTTCCTATGTGGTCATGCATGCTGAGGAAATAGCAAAAATTTGGCCTGAAATATAGACTTTGTATAGGGTAAAAATAAGCCATTCATGTCAGAGGATTTTAGTTTGTAATGCTAATTTGATAGGGGATGTTTTCTTCCCAAGCTACCCCACACATCTAATTGCCTCTCCTCCTCAAGACAACAATTAGAACAGACATGCAGCTATTACAGAATGGCATCATGCAGAAGAGTTAACGCTCAGATGCTACTGGATCGTTAACAACAACAACAAGCCAATTTGACTGCTGTGCCTCTTGATTGACAAAGTGATGGGCTGTTTTTGTTTTCCGTCAAAAGGAACTTTTTTGTGGATGGTGGAGGAAATATTTGTAAAATGGCTTATGTCAATGAGTATTAAAGAAAACTGTTGTTTTCCCTCGCCCCAGATCAAATGGTAAGAAATGGAGAGGTGGAGCTGAAGAGCAAGGAGGAAGAGATTCGGTTCCTTGAGCTGCAGCTACAGGAGGAGAAGCGGTCGGTGCAGCTGTTGCATAAAGCCATGCCCAACAAAGTGAACATGGAGAAGGAACTGGTCACTTTGCAGATACAGGTGAGACTTGATACGATTATCTTGTGTTGTGGATCCAGAAAGAAATCAAGGAAGGACTCTGTGTTAATTTGTACAAAGCAGAGATTGGTTTTGTTTCTGTCTTTAGGCCAAATCGCTGGAACTCTGATGGCCTCTGATTCAGAAAAGTAAAGTAGAGTAACGAATTTTTTGTCTTCACATGGAATTTTTTAGGGTGCCACAAGTAGGGTTCTACTTATTTACAATGTTTTTATTTTTATCCGCTTTTTTCCCCAGTACTATGTGAACTTTTTAGTGTAAATTTGATGCTGCTTTCTGGAGCAAAACTCTTTCATCACAGGTTACTGCCTCTTTCTGCCTCCTACCTGATTTACTTGTAAGAATTTTTACTTACTATTATACAGTTGAACCTGCTCCAACAGCCAGCCTAATCACTTGTTCAAAACGGCAGTTTCCCACTTCCCTCCTTGCATATTTTCTATATTATAATGACACTGTTCAAAAAGACCACCTGTTTAAGATGACCACTTTTCTCCTCGACAATGGGTAGTCATCTTAGACAGATTCGATTGTACATTGTTATACACTTAACTCTCGGAGCTGAATGGACTCACTTACTTTTATCTGTTTCTGTAACCTCTTGGGTACATGATGGGCTCTCTTGTGGCGTGTGCTCCTTCATCTCTGTGTCAGTATTGCCTTTGTCCTTCTCTGACCTTAGTATGGGTTTTTTTTCACTGACTCACAATAAACTACAACTCAGTCTCATAGATTACTTAGCATGTGTATCTTACTTTGTTTTAGTAAAAGGACTCAAGCTCAAGAAGCTGCTCCTTCAGGGAAGAAACATTAGCAAAGTAGGCACCTGAAAAATATAAGAGTGTACTCTTGTAGTGATGCAAAATAATACTATGTTTTTATATAGTTTTCTGTGACTGTTCACAGACGAACCTGCTCTAACAGCCACCTGTGTAAGACAATCACCTGTACTAATGGCCGTATCCTATTTCCTGCTTTGTGTATTTTTTTTTACATTAAATTGACTGTGTAAAACGGTCTCTCATCTCCTGGACAATGAGTAGCTGTCTAAGACAATTTTGGCTGTACTTCTTTTATCTGTTTTTTTATGTTTTTGTTATAATATTTGAGGCCGCGTGGTGAAATCAAACGCTTGTCAAAATACAGAAAACGGAGAAACAGGCATTTTTTCTGCCAGTTTGGACATTTTTATTGAATTTTTAATTTTTTGACTCAACCTCTTTTATGTCCATATAAAAACACATTTCCATGCGAATCTTACTGAAAAATACGTCATTTTTCTGTTTGCTAGGACTCTTTAAGTTATCGAAGTTACCAATCTTTGGCGGCAATTTTCTCGCTAATTTCACCACTGAAACCAGGTGACCTCACTTTCTTCAATCGCAAATATCTTAAGTTCTATTCAAGATAGGTGGATATTTATTACATTGGAAGCAAGGCAAATAAATTAGCTTTGAGATGATAACAATAACTCCACATGCCCAAAAATTGACGAGCGCCTGATTCCACGTCATCGTGACGCATGTATGTTTTTAAAGAAATGAAAAAGATTTGTTGATTCAATTTTTTTCCAGCTGCAACAATGCCAAGACCGTATGTTGGAGCTGGAGAAAGACTTGGAGAATCCTTACGATGAGACTCGGGTGCGGTATCTCACTGGGAAAGACCCGTCACCTGGTGAAATCCAGGGGAAAGTGGAAGAGGTAAGACAAGATCTTCCATACTCTTTGCTGTGTAAAATGTTTAGAAATGTGACTGTTCTATTTTTTATTCTTTCAAAAAAATTAGGTTCCTTAAAATTTTTGTCTAAATCCAAAGCAGACATGGAATTGATCCTTTAGATTGAGGAACACTTGGCCTCTTATCAGACCTCCGAGCAAAGAAGAAGTCTTCCTGGAAAAATGAGAAAAGTTTTTGGGTCACTCTTGCTTGAACCTAGATGCAACAAATGTCCTAGATGCAACAAATGTTAACCAATTTGATTACCAGTGTGCCTCTATTACTGGACTCTGTTTACGTGTCTGCATTATTTCGTCTTGTTTCCAATTGAATAATCTACATGAAATGTATTTACTCTTTCCTGAAGAATGATGAGGCGTCCTGTCTTTGATTATGATAAATGGGTGTGGAAAGATGTACTCGTCATCTCAAACCTGGAACACCCTCCCCAAAAATCTGAGAGAAATGGAAGATACTGTGTCTTTTAAAAACATCTTTTTAGATTATGAATACTGACATTCTTTTTCACTTCAGTGAATTTCTAAAATTAAATTTTTGTTTCCTTTTTTTGTGTGTGTAATTATGTGCTTTGAATGATTGTACAGCACTCCAGAGCTTATTCCCTATTGGGACAGAGCGCTATGTAAAGGGTATTTATTATTATTATTATTATTATTATTATTATTATTATTATTATCATCATTATTATTATTTTTATTATTGTATTATTATTAACACCAGTTCATCTCAGATGAATAGGCTAACGAAAATCCGTGGTTTGCTTTCAGGGAAATGGGAATTACATGAGATTAGGTTTTACCGCCATTCCAAGGTAATAAACAGACAGTTTTTAATCAGTGCTCACACTCCATTCAGACTGGAAGTAAGTGCAATCAATGCAAAAAGGTGAGAAGGTGTAATCTCAGGCGCATGGTTTACGACATCGTACTTTGATTGACCCCATTTTGACGTAAATACTGTCCAGTATTGAGGTCTTTTTGCTCTTTAGGTTCTGTTATAATTTGTTTTAGTAAGAGTTTTACGGCACTTGCAACACAATAAGGTCATATAAGTGCCGAAGATTAAAGGTGTTACAAGAGAGTAACATACATAAACAAGAAGGAGGAGAGATTACGACGAAAGATGTTTGATAGGAAAGAAGGAGCAAACCACACCAGAGCCCCCGCCAACCACCCACTCTGTTATAATGTTTTTTCCCCCTGCTTTATGACTACTTCATCCAGTCTACGGATACAGTGAGGGAAAAGGAAATTTAAAAAATACAATAAAACGATATAAGTCAATTCTATTCAAAATTGCTCTTTCTCCTTTCTGTCTTCTTACTTTGTTCCTTG